AGAGGAAGTGCATTCTGGACAGTGGGAACAAATGCTTGGGGAAGGTTGGATAAGTTAGGAGAAAGGTAAACAGTCAAGATTGGCAAGATTTGGAACTTTATTCAATAGCCAATGAAGAGCCATTAAAAGTTTTTGAACGGTCTTATGCTCACTGCTTGATTTTAAATGCAGTTCAATCATTAAGCAGTTGTGTGACCTTTGACAAGTCATTCAACTTCTCTCAACCCACATTTTCTCTGTAAAATGTGATGGTCAGATTACAAGATCACTAGGGTTTATTCTTTGCCAAGAGAACCCCAAATTGGGTCATGAAGAGTCAGACACAACTTAAGATGACTGAACAACAACAAAAAATGGTTTTATTCATTGTTGCTTTAAAACTATATGGTTTTAAGTGACTTTTGGAACTGTTCTCTTGGGTATTTGAATGCTTAATAATAGATATTCTTAATAGAAAAATTAAGAACTATTCAGAATAAGCACAAATATCTACCAAAAGAGAGAATCCTTTAAGTTAATTTAAACAAGGTCTCAGAGTCACAGAATTTGGTAGTTGGAAAGGGATCTCAGCAATCCTCTCTAGTCCAACCCATCCACTAAGAAAAATCCCCACTAGAACCCTATTTGGTGTTTTCTTAGTAAAGATACTGGTTTGCCATTTCCTTCTTCAGCTCATTATACAGATGAGGAAATTGAGGAAAACAGGGTTAAGTGACTCACCCAGAATCACATAGCTTGTAAGTGTCTGAGGCCAGATTTGAACTCATAAAAATGAGTCATCCTGATTCCAAGCCAGGTGCTCTATCCACTGTGCCACCTAGCTGTCATTTCTTTTTAGAGATACAATAACCTTTATGATCATTTCAAGAACAGAAACCAAAGTCAAGTTCACTGGCTTTCATTTTACAAACTTTATTTTCTTCCTTTTTTTGAAAATTATGACATTTGCCCTTCCCCAGTCTTGTGGCACATCTCCTATTTCCCACAAGCTTTCAAATATCACTGACACAGCGGCTCAGCAGTCAACATTTGCCAATTCTTTCAGGATTGGAGGATTTAGTTCATCCAGGCCAGGTAACTTAAATTTATCATTGACATGTTAGAGCTCATTTGTTATTCCCTTATCTGATTATCAGTTCCCTGTTAATCATTTATATTCTTTGTCATCATCCATTACTTGATAACCATAAAACCAAATACTAATTGATTTCTTTTCTATGAAGTATGTTGCATATTTCAAAATGATAGAGTAGTTCATTTAATGGCAAAATCAGTAATAAGGCTGTCTTAGAGAATCATGTTATTTAAGAAGTAACAGTATCAGGGAACATATATTTCATAACTGGCATTTAACTAAATGAGTCCTTACACTGTTGCTACATAAAATAATTTTTAACATAGTTATGATACATCACGTCATTTTTATTATCCTGATTCTATACTAAATCAAAGTAAGTCAATGTAGCAACCCGGTGTTTTGTTTGAGCAACCACTGTTTGAGTTTTCATTACCAGATAATTCTACTCTAACATACCATTTGATCATTTAAAATTTTCCAGTGTATTTAAGGATATCTTGTGCCTTTAGAAAAGTCAGCTTACCTCACCTGAAGGACTAACATTCCAGAAAACCAAGGTTTTTGTGAGAGCCCTATTTCACTTTAAATGCTTATTAAAACATTCTAGTTTTTTTTAAACCATAATAAATTTATAAACAGATATTTAAAACTTGTTAGCATATTCTAAATTCCTCAGGTTGGCTCCAGAACTAGGACCAGTGGGTAAGGAGTTACAAAGCTACAAGTTTAGGCTTGATTTATTTAATAATTAAAGAGAGGATGTACATTTATGTTAATTCATGAGGAAATACAAAAATATAACCCTTGTGATTGCCTTGGAACTTGGCATGAGAATTAGTAAGAAAAACGAGGTGACCACCCCACTGACAGTAAATGCTAGGTCACTGACCTTAAAATTCTGCCATATAAGGAGAAGCTATCCAGAAGTGCAATGTGCTGCCTTGAGAAGTCATGTATTTCCTCTCTTTTGGAAACCTTCAGTCAGAAGCTGTATATTTGCTTGGTGAGAATACTGATAAAGGAATTTTTTTTTCTTTATTGGGAGGAGATGAATTGGATTAATGGACTCTCAATTCCCTAGCAGCCTTGAAAAATTCTGAGATTTCTTTCAAGTACTTTTAAACTTAAACTTTGAGATAATGTTTTCCACTAGAGGCAAGTCCTAGTTACCCATGTGGATCATTTATGTTCATTGAGGTTCAGCTGTACACTGTCATTCCTGAACTTTCTTGACTTTCTTTCCACCAACTCACAAAACTTTTGTTTTCTTTCTTTGCCTATTCTCTCTACCCAACACTAGCAGTTTTTTTTCTTCTCTATGATGATGATAATGATAGTAGTACTACTTTTGTTTTTGTTAAGTCATTCCAGTAATGTCTGACTCTTCATGACCCCATTTGGGGTTTTCTGGGCAAAGATATTGGAGTAGTTTGCCATTTCCTTCTCCAGTACATTTTACAGATGAGGAAATGGAGGCACACAGGATTAAGTGACTTGCCTAGAGTCACACAGCTAGTAAGGCTAGTGAGGCCAGATTTGAATTCAGGAAGTCCTTCAGGAAAAGGAATCTTCCTGACTCCAGGCTGGGCACTCTATTCCCTGAAGCACCTAGCTGCCAATAGTACTAGCACTACCACCACTACTACTACTACTACCAGTACCACCACCACTACTACTACTACTACCACCACCACCACCACTGCTACTACTACTACTACTACTTCTACTACTATTACTACTACTACCACTACTACTGCTACTACTACTACTACTACTACGACTATTACTTATAATAGCAGTAAATCGCCCTTTAAAGTTAGCAAAACCCTTTATAAAAATCTTATTTGATCCTCACAACAATCCTAAGAAGTAGGTGCTTTTATTATCCCCATTTTATAGATGAGGAAACTGAGGCAGACATATGTGAAATCACCAAAGTTACACAGCTAATGAGTGTTTGAGGCAAGATTTAAACTCTGGTCCTCTGAATTCCAGGTCCAGCAATATCCACTGTGTAACTTAGAAGCCTATAATGTACTCACAAGTTCCTCCCCCTCTCCCCCCACCCCACTGAGACTGTAAATGTCTGGAGGGCAGGAACTATTTTTCATTTTTCTGTGTATTCCCAGGACCAACATAGTGCTTGTTGAATTAAATAGAATTGCAGGAAAGTGCATACATGAAATATGGCAAAATGCATTGCAGTGTATATTTATATGCTGAATTTAGTTATATAGACAATAAACTCTGTGGAAATTCAGAAAAGGGCGAAGTTGGTATAGCTGGATCATAAAATCATAGTCTTTTATATGTGAAAAGAACCTCAGAAATTATAATTTTGTAATTGAAAAAAAAAGACCCAGAAAGAAAAAAAAAGACTTTGCCAAAGACATGAAGCAAATTAGCATCAGAGCAGGCACTTGAACCCAGATCTCATGACTTCTGGTGCAGCACTCTTTCTAAAATTATACTATCCTATCTCTCAAATCCTTGAAGAAGTGGCCTCCAAATGAGCCTGGAAGGAGCAGCTGGATTTGGGTAGATAGAAAGTAAAAGAAAGGAGATGAACAAAGGCTTGAAATTTAAAATAAACTTGAGCAGTAATTCTGCCAGCCATGGTTTTACTTGAAAGGGAGTAGCTCTTTGAGGTTGTATTCTTCTGCCTGGGGCACAATGTAACAGAGTACAGCATTTTTTTAAGTATCTACCTTATGTAAGGCATATAGACATAGCAGTGTTTCTCCATTAGCTCCATGTGATATAGAGAAGGCCTACCCTTTCATCCCTCAGTTTCCTCTTCCAACAAGGATAATAACTTATTTGTGTGCTTGACAAGGATGTTAAGAGAAGCACAAAAATTATAGCTATGGAAGTATTCTTAGCAAGTTAAATCTCTATGCCGATGTAACGTAGCATTGCTATTGTTGTTAGACTGTCATAAAAGCATGTAAGAACACTTTGTACTCCTCTTCCATTCCCTTCTCAGAGAAGGTTGTCTGTCAACATTGTTACACAGTGCCCTTTGATTCCTTGATTTAATAAAAAGCCTGAAAAGGGAAGCTGCAGTGACTTTACATCATGAAAAACACATGGGTTTGTCCTCAGTGCCAGAAGATCCCAAGGATATACTTGGTTCAGACCAGCTATGAGGAATCTAAGGAATGGTAGGGGGCAGGGAGGATGGAGCAGTCTGTCTTCCCAGTCCTTATTGGGTACTGGGTCAGATTGCCTGGGTCTTGTAGTGTTGACTATGTGCTGGCTGGATAGCCGCCACCCAAATGGCAAAGTTTCTGTGCCTGCATGGCTCCTGGCAATCATAGTAGGGGCAGTGCAGCTAGCACTTGTTTCCAATAATGGCTCAGACTTGGTTGGCTTTCTGTGTAAATGCTGTTACCAATGGACAGTCATGTTTTCTTACTACAATATATTGAGAGTAAAATAATACATTCTGTAATTCAACTCTTTGTAGCTAGTTCCTGGTATTTATGATTGAGAATTTAAATTCAGTGAGTTGTAAAGTTATTGAGGTGGTTGGTTTTCGGGATTTATTAAGCATGTAGTATTTTTTCTTTTAAATAAATGTTTCTGTAACTGGCTTTGCTGCACTTTATATGACTGAGTCTTTAAATTTTAAATTATTTGTAGTGCTGTAGTGGAGAATTATTTTCTTTATGAGACAGTTAAGTCTCGTAAAGTCAAGTCTCATAAAGTAACATTTTAGGCATTTGGTTGCTTCTGTAATATAATGTTTAGATGCTCATTAATTTAATATACTCGATGGCACATTTTAAATTTTGCTTGCAGTCCAAAAGTCTTATTGTTCCTTCTTCGTACTGAGAGCCAGATCTCATTTGAAATCATGTAAGATTTCATATAACAGAAGGAGGTATGTTACTGACTTTTAAAAATTCTTTTTTTCTAGGATCCACCTACTTCTGTTTCACTTGGACTGAGAATGGAAGAAATGATTTTCAATTTGGCAGACACACATCTGTTCTTTAATGATTTAGAAGTAAGTAGTAATTATTTTATGTCAGCCACTTAGCATTTGTTCCCTGTTATATCCCACAACACAATGGTAGTCTTGACAGGCAACGATGGAGTGTTACATTAAGGGAAATAGGGCTGGTGAAATAAATATGAAGTAAAACAATTTTAACTTAACTACATCAATACATTTTACTGTCAAAGTCTTCCTGTTCTTATCTGAATAGATGAGTATGTAAAGTAGGCTATGACATAATAATATATAAACATTAACATTTAATATCTAGACATTAAATATTAAACTTTGACTTCTACAGATTTTTAATAGGAAGCTACAAATTTCTCAGTTGCCTTCTGGTACGAGGAAGTTCAGCCTTAGAGCCAGAAATAAATCATGTATTTTTCATATGTTGTCACTTTCACAAGTATATTCCATTGCAGGCTCGCCCTGCTTGATAGCAGGCTCAATTCTTGAGATATTGAGGGGGGATTTTTCAGCCCTCTGGCATCCGCTGCACTAGCAATCCATATGTCAAGGTGCCAGTGACTTTCTTATTATTTTATGATTTTTTTCTCCCCTCTTGACAACTTTGAACAATTGTGTTGAAAACTGTTACGGTCACTGAGGGATCTGATCCTTCTGTGATCTTGGGTAGTTCACCTTTTAAAAGCAAAGATGGCTGCTGCTTCTATCTTCATTATGACAAAACATGACCATAGCTCCATTTCACTCTCATCTTAATATAGACAGTTGTTTATTTAAAATCCTGCCGTTAAGCAAGCTTGTGGTAGGGCTGCCAACAGGCATTAATCATCAAGTTGTTGTTTTGCTAGATTTTATAAATGTATGTTATTTCAGACAGGAGAAGGAATCTGAAGGATTCAAATACAACTTTTGCTGATCAAAGTTAATTGGCAGCAATTGGCCTTTAAATATTTCCTCATGTTTCCCTTTTTAAAATCAAGCAAAATGCACCTTATTTAATAGATGAGCCAAAATTATTTGAAAAATGCCAGTATGTGACAGAACTTAAATGTGGTTTGCTCAACATCTGTCCTATATTTTGATTTCTTTTCATCTGCAAAGAAACTGCTCACAGACGAATTGGCAACTTACAGTGCAATAAAATTATTTAAATGTGCTTTATTTTTTCTTCCATTCCTAAGTGAAGTATTTATTTTTACACTTAAAGTAAAATACAAGATTTCTTGCATTTTAGAGTGTTTGCTTTCATTAAGAAAACTAAATGTAAGACATTGCTGCTTAACACAAAAAAAAATGTTCTAGAAGTGAGTGAAGTGTTCAGAATTTATTTTCAGGATTTTAGAAAACATTAATAATTATACTTATTTTCAAAAGATGTTTTTAATTCATGGTTGTATTTGTCTCCATAAGAGAGCGGCAAAAATCATTCCATATTTTACTAGTATGTTAAAATGCCTTTTACAAAGTTTCCATTTGTTTCTAATGATACAGAGAAGTCTTTAATTCTGTGCTGGATACAACCATGTAACTCTTATTGATGTTAATGGGTGTTAATAGCACACATCAAAAAGAAATTAACTATAATTTGGTATGGTTTAACCATAGCTTATAAAATGGGAAATCTATGTCTGTAAGATGCCAAAACAATGAGTCGAAAAGTGAAAATTTGGGGAAACTGGTGTTGGCCTCATGTATACTTTAACCCTAAAAATTCAGTCAGGTTAGTTTGAGATTTTGGTTGTTTCTTGAAAAATTTCAGCCACACTGATGCATGTGTAGACATCAGTTGAAATAGTACTTTTCCAAAGCTGAAAATATATTAAAATTAGTGCTTTAGTAATGGAAAAAATATTTATGTAAGATCAAATTAAAAGCAATATTAATGCTGAATATTTCTGAAAAGTAGGTTAGAAGGAAGAATGTTGAAATATTTTAACTAAATTTTTAACATTTGTTCTTAAGGTTAATGAAACATTAACTAAAACATAAAGTGTTTGTTTTATAGAAGTTGATTCTCTAGGGGTTTTTTCTTTCCTTATTGGTGACTCAGTCATGATTTCTTTAAGTACATTCTGAAAGGTATAACAAATAGGTTCCTTTGGCATGTGTCGTCAGAAACTCCCAGTACTTTGCTCCAGGTTTTTTTTTTCAGCATTTAAATAAGTAGGTTCATCTTTGTGCTCATTTCAGGCCTTCATTGCATTCATATGTCATACAACAGGAGAGTAATCCGTTATTGGTCATACTTGATTTCTTTAAGAAAATGTTACTTAGTGGCAAGAATAAATATATTGGTATAATGCTCTTAAGAGGACCAAAATTATCTCATCAGGCAGGAATGATGTGGTAATGCCTGATTTCACACTCCAATTAGCAGTGTGTTGTGGTAGGGGACTTGAATGTTTTAATTTATTTAAATTGTATGTCTTTAGCATTTTAAGCCTACAGTAGAAGTAATTTCAAGGAGGTTAACAATTTGTTGGTTAGCCTGAAGTGTGATATCTGAACTCTATTTAAAAAAAAAAAGTATTGGCCTTAGTTCTCTTTATAAAAACTTAAGTTGCTGCCAGCTACCCTCTGCATAATTTAGGGTTTTTTTCTCCTACATCTTTGGCATATTAAATATTCTGCATAATGAAGTACACTGAATGAAGAGTTGCCAATAATATTTGTATTATCTTGGTATGTATTTTAAATGGTGATTTGCTGTGTGAACTTAAAAGGGCTAAAGGGTAATAAACTGACTTGAGATTTTTTTAATGAATTTTGAGGCCTCTGCAATAACTGACATTTCATTTTTTAAAACTAAATTTGGAGAGCATTTAATTTTGTTTAAAATGTGTATAACATCATCATAAATAAATCTTGCTTGACATTCATTCCCAAAAGAGGCAGGTTGTGTTTGTTCTGTGATATTAAAAATGTTTTACATGTAAGCTCATGAGTGACATATAAGTCAAATTACTTTTAGAATTTATGATTTCTCCACCAGTGAATGGTAGCTGCTGCAGCTCTGTTACGTACTCTGACTTTCCTATTGATGAGTCTGAATCACGTCCTGCAGATTATTTTACAATAAATGTCTCCATGTGCAATATGATGATACTTATATGGAAATCATTTATTGAGAATGACAGTATGGAATTGGAGTTTCTTAGCTCCTTTATAACAACTCTTACTCTTTCTGACTGAAAGGAGAAAGAGTTCTTTCTATCAGATCCTTCTTGTAAGACAATAGTGTATGTCTCCAAATAGTGCAGGAGACAAAGGCCTTCAAGGAACCTTAATGTTTTCATTTAACTTGTCACTGACTAGTGCTCTTTTGAGTCATTTCCATGGTGGAAGAGAAAAAAATGTTTTATATAGACCTGAATATTTAAAAATAACAATAAGAATAAAGCAGAGGCTTATAATTATGTTTTTTCTCTTTGATTTTGAAAAATGTCACCCGACTTAAATCTTATGACAATCACTGGTGTTGTTGACACTGTATCTAACTCTATTGAAGGCAGGCAGTAGGCCTTATGCTTGATACTCAAGACTGGCCACATTCAAGCCTTTGCCTCAGGGCTACTACCTCTACTTTGTTCTGTTCTCTTGTTCCTACCCCACTCCCTACCCTTTGAGCAGCCCTTCAGTGAACAAAGAAACTGGGAGTGGGGGGAGGAGGTAAGAGGAGAGTGGAAATTGAGAAGCCAAAAATAAATCTTGAATTAAAACTCCCCGCACCTCAGCCAATGCCCTGAACATTTTCCAGCTAGGTAGCATGACGGCAAGATGTTGTCATTACCTGCAGTAGAATTTAAAATTATGTCAGTGTTAGAATTTCCCAAAACACTTCAAACCAGACTCCAGATTAACCTTCATAATTTATAACTTCACAAAAATGGATGATGATTATTTGTTGTATACTTTAGCCTTTTAACTTGATAATTTTTTTTAATCTCATATTTATGTATTGTCGGTAATGAAAAAGGGGAAAGAGTTTTCTTGAAAGTATAATCACCCACATTAGATACAGAATTTTAATTAAAGTGTTTTGTACTGAAATAGCAATTATGCTCCCAGGATTAGAAAGAAGCTTTGAGGAATAGTATAAAGAGTTGTGAATTTTTTAAGTCAAAAGATCAGGTTTTTAGTTCCAATTCTGTCACCTCCTAGCTAGTGACCTTGAGCATGGTTATCTTGCCCCACTGAGATTCAGCTTTTTCCTAAGTAAAATGAAGTTGGACTAAATCATCTGCAAAGGTCTCTCTTAGCTTCAAATCAGAAAGTGAGGCATTTAAATGTATGCTAAAATTGATTTCATAATAATCAACAGTCTTTAAGGCAAAGACAAAGCAGAATTTTTCAAACAAGTTTTCCACTTTCCTCAAAAGAAGGCAAGGGATTATGAAACTATGGAGAACATTTTGTTAGTCCACTTGTATGGGAACTCTGAAAACTATATGGTTTTCAAAAATTAGAGATAATTAAGGTGTTACAGTGGATAGAGTAAGTTCAAATCCAGCTTCAAACTTTTTCTAGTTGTGTGACCTTGGGCAAGTCACTTAACCTCTATTTGCCTTAGTCTCCTCAACTGGAAAATGGGGATAATAATAGCCCTACCTGTCAGAGTTGTCATGACAATCAAATGAGATAAAATTTGTATATAAAAACGTGCTTAGCACAATGCCTGGCACATAGTAGGTGCTATAGAAATACTAATTTATTATTATTGTTTGGTAACTATCTTTCATTTCTTTCTGACAGCTGAGAAAAACTATAATGGAAGTGATACCTGTGCATACGTATATGTATGCCAGTCAGTTAATAAACATTTACTAAGCACCTACTATGTGCAAGGCATTGTGCTAAGTACTAGGGATACAAATACTAAAAGGAAAGAGTTGCTGCTCTCAAGGAGCTTACAATCTAATGTATGTGTAAAATGTATAATCTAATGTATATGTCTGTGGAAAATGGACCAAAGAAGCCAAAATGTCCTGATTTACAAAAGGGGGGAGAGAGTCCAGCTACGGAAATTGACTCCAATTCTT